GTGGAGGAGGACCTCCTCACCCTTGCTTCTCCCCCGTCCTACCTATGGTAATGGTGGTGGAAAATTTCCCCGGCACATCCTGGAGCCGTCCCGCCGGACCTCCAGGCCTGCGCCGCTCAGGCTCGCGTGCGCCCGCAGCACCCACCGGGAGCCCGCCTCGCCGCGCGCGCCCTCCAGCGCCCGCTCCAGCCGGTACTCCTCCGCCTGGCCACGGACCAGTGCTCCGAGGCGCTCCGGGTCCATGAGCTCGGCGACGGCCGGGTGGCAGACGAAGTCGCCCCGCCAGGCGTACGTGAAGCCGCCCTGGAGCCACTCGCCGACGTGCTGCAGCCAGCCCGCGCCCTGCGTCCGGACCAGGTGCGCCGAGCGGTGCAGCGAGCCTCCCCCGAGCTCGTGCAGGAGCCGGCACTGCCCGCACAGCACGGGGCCCGGGAGCCCGTCGAAGCGCTCCACGCCGGGAGGCGCCGCCGCGCCGCACGGGAACGCGCCCAGCAGGCAGGACTGAGCCTGCCGCAGCTCCGCCTCGGGCAGCTCGCGCCTCGCGGCGAAGCGCGCCACGAGGCCGGCGGCGGCGCGCAGCCGCCGCTCGAAGGCCGCGGGGCAGAGGGCGCCGCCCGCCTGCGGAGGCGGGTGCACCGCCTCCAGCAGGCACGACTGGAGCTCCCGGTGTTCGTCGCCGGGGGCGCTGGCGTGCACCTGGATGGCGGACATCGCGATGGTCTCGCGGGTGTTGATGGCACTGCAGAGCGTGGAGAGCGCCGCGAACCACTGCAGCTGCGTCAGGCCGGAGCCGCGCTCGCCAAGCCGCCGGCGGAGCACGGCCCTCAGCTCGGCGAGGACGGCTTGGCTCACCTCCTCCCCGTCGAAGCCGCTGCGCTTGCACACCATGCCCTCGTCTGGGATGCAGAGGCAGTCGATGCTCCGAAAGTCCGCCACCGTGCCCCATGCCACGTTGAGGCGTGGCAGAATGCCAAATGCGGTCTGGCAGGGTTTCTGGACTAGAGATGCATCGGCAATACATCGGTGATGCATCGGCGATGCACTGGCGATGCACCGGCGACGTCGGCGATGCATCGGCGACGTCGGCGTGAAGCAAATCGGGCTCCGCATCGAGCCGCATCGGCGATGCATCGCCGATGCGGCGCGATCCTCCGACCCCATCTACTCCGACCCCATCTGGGAGGCCTAGATGGAATGCCTCTAGGGACCCTAGCCCCCCTCCAGAGGTGCCCACCTGCATGCACCGCCCCCGCTTCTCGAGGCCACAATCCCTCGCAAAATACAGCAACAGGTCGTGCTCCCGAGGCCCGGATGCCTCCAAGACGGCCCAATGTCGCAGCAAGACGGGCCACGTTGGCCTCGAGACGGCCTAAGACGGCTTCAAAACGGCCCACGAGGCCTTCGAGGCGTCCCACGCAAGCCCCAAGTGCCTTCCCAACAGGGTCAAAGTCAATGATTTGCATTCGGGCTTTCAGTGTTTCGGGTTCTCGCCTTTTCGAGCTCCCGACGTCCCAAGACGACCCAAGACCATCAGGACTGCCCCAAGACGGCTAAAGAGGCCCCCCAAGACGGCCCGAGAGGCCCCCAAGACGGCCCGAGAGGCGCCCAAGACGGCCCGAGAGGACCCCAAGACGGCCCCAAGGAGGTCCCAAGAGGGTGAAGACGAACCGACAACTCGAGCCTTCCACACCCACAAGAGGCCCCCAGCAGGCCCCCATTGCCTTCTCGAGTGGTTGCCACCCAGAATGCTGCGCTGGCACGCACGGTGGCGGAGTCGCCAGAGGCAGCCGCATAACGCTCCCAGAGGGCCGGAGCGCCCTCGGAGGACCGCAGGTGGACCTGGCGGAAGGCCTCCGTGCAGCGGTCCCTCTCGAACAGGCCCTCGCTCGGCCTGCAGCAGTTCTGCACGATGACCAGCGCCGGAGGGGGAGCGCTCGCGACGCGCCTGTTAGCGGCAGCGGCAAACTGCTCGCACTCCTCCAGGGCCCGGCGGCAAACCAGCTTCTCCCTGGTGAGGAAGACGACCACGTCGCACATCAGGTACGCAATGGCAGGCTGGAGGGTGTCGCGCAGCACCTGCCGCCGCGACGCCTCCCACTCGGCAGCCGCCGTGCGCTCCAGCACTGCCTCCGTCGCCTCGGCGCTCCCGCCCACCTCCTGCATGAGCGGCTGGGTGCCGTAGGTCCCCTCGAAATCAATGTAGTAGATGTGCTCCAGGGGGTCCACGTACAGGTTGATGTCCGAGGTGACGGACTGCAGGAGGGCGCCGCCTGCGGCGCCACCGCACTCGCCCTCGGCCTCGCTCGGCCCGGGCGAGCCTGCGGCCTGCAGCCTGCTGATCAGCCAGCTCTTGCCCGCGGAGGTCGCGCCCACGAAGCCCGCGGCGAGCGCCGGCCGCCCCGCGCACGCCTCGCGCACCCACCGCCCCCAGTTCTCGGCCGCCGGCGCGAGGGCGTACCCCGCCTCCCAGCGCCCCGGCGCGCGGCTCGACCACTCCCAG